AAGCCCAGGGCAGCCTGCCTAGGCTGGAAATCAGCTTGGAGTGATTGGTGCAGGCTCATGCAACATGCAGTGACAGTGTGTAGAGAACTGCAGGCTAAGTTCATAGTGGAGGTAATCCAGGGCACAAGCAGCCAGGGGCCTGAGCTTATTTATGTATCCTAGTTGGTAAAAGTAGTGCTTCTTGGGATTTGTAATCTGGTCTAAGCGGGAGCTGGTTAAGATGGTTCCTCCATGACTATCTGTGATCTGCCATTTAGATTTAGAGGTTTTTACACCCACAGGGAGCATTGTAGCTTTGTGAAACTGGACTGGGATCCCACAATATCTAACGCACATCTCCTATTGGCTGGTTGACATCATCACCAAGACATAAAATTTATATTTGAGTCTGACTAAACATGTAAACATGTTGTTTTCTAGTAAAATCCTACGGCTCCAACAACGGTACCATTTATTGTTAAAGTTAGTTTGTTTTATTTGCTCGCCTTCTTGCCCCTCCCGTGTGGTCTTTTTCTAGGCAACTGTTGTGGATGGTTACATACATACTTTAAATAGCATTAAAAGAAATTGTCATTTCCTCTCCAACTATAAACAGTAATACTGTACTGATGACTGTTGTCACAAATGATAATCTAACATCTGTTGATAAAACAAACAGGCAGAGACACAGGGACGAGACAAATATTTGTCATCTTTTTCCCACTCTCTCAAGGTTTGTCTTTTTTGCTTTGTTTGTTTATAAAGACAGTTTTTTTCCAAATATGTCTTATTAATAAAACAGGTGGGCAACTGTAATAGCATTTTTTTTTTTAAATAAAAAGTCTTATTCTCTTTGTTGATGAGGCAGAAAGATCTTAAACAGGCCCCAATGGTTGGAAATTCAGTTTGTGAGCGAGTAGGGTAGAGCATTGTGTGTTTAAAGTAGACAGTTGGCTAGTTCTGTTTTTATACTGAACTAATCATAGCCACAATTTATTAGACTTTTCATTTAGTTTGGCTCTGTGCAGATGACAGCACTTGAGAAATGTGCTTATCTTCAGCTGACTATAGATTGACATTTTAAAATGTGGAGACAGGGGTGATGTTTACACCTGTCCTCTCTACAGGTACATCTCGGTGGTGGGATTTGGGTGGAGGAAGAGAAGTGGCACCAGCTGCAGCGGACCCAGGGAGACTCCAAGTTCACAAAGAACCTGGCTGTAATGATCTGGGGTACAGAAACTCTCAAAAACCGTAGTGTCACAGGAGTGGCCACCAAAAAGAAGAAAGACGCCCTGCCCAAACCCCCACTGTCACCCAGCAAGCTGAAAATTGTCCGAGGTAAGTCTCTTACTTAAGCTTCATTTATGGTTCTGCATTGAATCTGCGCCGTAAGTTCGACTTAGGCAGTGCGTAGCTTCTTACCAAGACCGCAGCAACTGTGGCTGGACAAACGCAGAAAATCCCGTTGTTCCGCCTCAGTCGGTTCAGTGGTCGTACAGACATCTCCTCAAACATCTTCTCTCTTGCCTTTGTTGCAGTAATTTCAGGAGAGGTAACTGCTGTTCAGCATCTATCATTAGTTTTAACTTCAACATGACCCACTCAGTTTCAGTCGCTATTGTTAGTGGTAAAGAAATGCAACAACGTGGCATCTGTTCAGAACATACTGTACACCGTTGTACACTGCCCCATTGTGGTGTAAATATAAGGTAGCTACTTTACAGAAACTTAAAGTTGCTTATAATGATGCCTTGAGGATTCTGCTTAAGAAGCCTAGGTCCACCAGCGCCAGTCTGTTGTGTTCACAGGTCCATGTTAGTACCTTTCAGGCATTAATGAGAAACCTGATGTACAGATTTATCTGTCGTGTGAATAACTCTGAGAACAGTCTTATAATGATGCTGGCTAATCCTGGTTTTAGTGTAGTACGTTACCAATCCTCTCTGTGGAAACATTGGTATAAACGTCTTTTATGATTTTTATCTTTTTTTCTTCTTTTATATCCTTTCTTTTTTCTTTTATTTCTTTTTTGTATGGACCTTGAGTCTGCTAATAAAGGATGATGATGATGATAGAAACACCACTGCCGCCTAGTGTTTTGGTGGTGTAACTTCAGGATGACGCAGACACCGGCGCACAAGTATAGAGACTTAAAACGATGTAGGCCATTTGCATAGCCTATGGCATGGGCTCTATGTAGATTCAACACAGAATCATAAATCTGTCATTACACATCAGGCTTCAACCCATACAATCTAAATTGTGAGAAAGATGAGTATTTGTTCTGATGGAAGCTTAGGCAAGTTGGAGAACATCAGGTACAGAACTAATTCTTTTCTTTGCTAATTTTGCATTTGAGTCATTGATTTTCTATTCAGTAGACACCAGACAAAAATTTGCAATTTTTAATATGATGTAGTCTGACTGCTCACGCTCACTCCTTCCTCAGAGTGTCTCTACGACAGAGTGTCTCAAGAGACAGCCGACAGTGCAGAGATTACACAGAGATTGTCCAAAGTGAACAAATACATTTGTGAAAAGATAATGGATATCAACAAGTCCATCAAGAATGAGGAGCGGCGGGAGTCCAAGCTGCTCATCAGACAGACAGTCAAGATGGAGAACTTCACCTATGATGGCATGTAGTGATCAATTCTTGTCACGCCAGCGCCTTCTGCCGCCTCCCCGTGGTCTGCAGGATATTGAGGGGACTCGATATGGTGGTTGGGGGATGTTTGTCACAGTATCAGCAGCAGTTTTTTTTTGTTGACACATTGGATTTGTTATTATGTGAAATGTTGAAATAAACAAACCCCTTCCTGGCTCCTTATAGAACAACCATCACCTTCCTCGGTGCCCAGTTTCCTCATTGGCTGGCAGACAGCTTTACCCACTAGTCAGAAGGTGAACACATGTGAGGTAGTTTGAAATGAGCTTGTGTGGGTGTTTTTATAAGCTTTGCTGTGGAACTGGTACAGAGACGTGGTTTATTGAGGTGTGCATTTTTGTCAGATTAGATGTGATTGTTAAATTAATTTATTGTTCTGTGTCAGAACATCATTTTGAGTCCTTAAACTTTTAAAAAGTAAGAAGAGATTATTTCCATAGACGATGTCTTCTGCTAAAGATGATGGCGCTAGCTTGCATTAGACTTTAGATGTGTGAACAGCTGGATGTTTTGGTGACTACCCAATAACTGCTGTGGTTAGTGAGTGTTTGTGTTGGTACTTACTAGAATGGGACATCGGTGTCTCAAATGCACAAGTCTTAATTGGTAACAGCCATATTGCATATTACAACAGAGATTCTGTTGCTCCAAGAGATTGAGTGTGTGCTCACCCTTAAGTGTAGGCCAGTACCAACACGTCACTGTATTAAAAAGAGGTCTTACAGAGGTGAGTAATGTAGAGTGCTATATTTTTGTTTGTTTGTTTGTTTTTTTTATTTAGTTATGAATATTTGTCATTAGTGGGAGAACACATGCAAAGGTTTTGATGGGATATTCCTCTGTTACTCTTAACCAAATGTGTCACTTTCAGACAGTCTTGTTGGCTTTAAATGGATTCGGCAATCATCAGGGACTGAAATCACCATGAGTTTTCTAGTAAGCTGTGATTGTAAATGTATAGTAAGCTGAGGCAGTAATGCTTCACCTGCACTTTGCTGTGAGAATGTAATAGGCTAGGTACTATTTTCTGTGTGATTCACAACATTAAACTGAGCTGAGCTGGGTTACTTTCTATCCCCCCTTCCTGTTAAAAGATGCTGGGCTGAACAGAACAATGTGTCGACGAGAATCAGGACACAGCTCTGTACGGTTCAGGTCATCTTCTCATGAAAGCAGTGTTAGCTGTGGGTAAAGCTGTCTGAAATACTATTGTGCCGTTGAAGTCGTCTGGGCCCACTGAGCCCCATAATAACCCCCTCTTTTTTAAGCCACACTACTGGGGAACAAAGTAAGGTCACTCCAGCTACGCCATCAGAACTTTAAAATGGTCCTGTTTTTTTGTTTGTTTGTTTGTTTGTTTGTTTTTCAGGGGGTGGGGTGTTGTATGTTGTTTTTTTTTCTTTCCAGTCTTATTGTTTTGATCCAAAATGGTTTGTGTGGCTGTCTGCAGGCTGGAACTAATTGCTGCAGATTGAAATCTCAACTGTGACCTAGCTGTGGCTAACTGTGAATCTACTGCAGAGCTGCCCATCAAGCCTTTTTCCTCTTCACGCTCTAGTTTCTTGTTTGTCGGTTGGTTTATTTCTCTCTATCATTTTGTCTGTCTTGATTTTTTGTTATGTTTTTTTTGTTTGTTTTGTTTTGTTATTTCTGAAAGGTCAGATCAGCCTTTTGTTAAGCTACTTTGTTTTGGAAATATTTCAGTGTACATAAAATTCATATATTTTTCTTTTTCATCTAACAGTTATTTCAGTTTCATGTTACAGTTTTAAGAGTTGTGGTCAAGTTTTGGTTTGTCTAATTGATGTTGTAATTCCACATTACCTGATTAGCTCTTGTTTTTCTTTTCTTTTTTTTTTTATACACTTTTTTGTTTTTCATATGAATTGTTGGCTTAAAACTTGATATTGTGTCCAAATGTAGATCAGTGGAATCTACAAACAAAAGAAATCTCCTGTTCTTAGCCAAAGTGATCTCTGGAGAAGAGGAAAGTCAAGGCTTCCCTTAAAGTATCAGATTTTGACAGAGCCCAAACATTAAGCTACATTCACAACATGTGATATTTAATGAGCCTCACATAAAATCTACCTTCTGATAATCTAAGATGAGAAACTGTATTGATAAACCGTTGTACTCTAGCAACTGAGATGCTGTATTTAGATCACATCATTTACATTGAATGCACTTTAAACTTCTGGGCAATTTCTTCAATCTTAAGGAAATGTATTTGTGGTATTTGTCCTTTTTAAAATGTCTATATAGATTAAGGCCTAACAAACATTGTATTATTGTGAAGCACCTTAGAACAATTTGCTTTTTTGTTTTTGTCAAAAATGAGTTATGGGATATAGTTTTGTTTTTATCAATCAGATATCCCCCTGACATGCTAATGCTCCACATCAAGCTTGATAGATTTAATACTTCTAAAATTAATTCTGAAATGATATTGAGTACTTGGGAAAACTAGATTTCCACAAGCTAAATTATATAGAAAGTGAATTATATAGTGCCTCCATCCTGGCCTCATGAACAATAAATTGCTTACTTGGCAAACTGACAAGTGAAAGTCAACAACTATTCTTTCAGCTTATTTGGTTTTCAACTGTGAAACTTTTCACCAATCTAAAAATATATATATATATATATAATACCTACAAAAATGTGCAAGCTGACTTGAATATGTGCTTTAACTTGATGCTCCAAGATACTGGTTATGTGTCAGAGATAACTGTGTACTTTTACAAATGAACTGTGTACTTTTACAAATGGTAGTTGGAATTGTAAACCAAAGTATTGAATGCTGTGTTCAAGCTAAAGAAAGGGGACTGATGATGACTGAGGCATCAGCAGAGTTTGCACAAAAAAGGGCCCATGCCGAGGTAACAGAGCTTAGTGAATCTTGGGCCACCAAAGTGGTGACATATTATTGATATGTTTGTGAGTTACTAAAACAATTCGATTTTTACAGTGTCTTTCAGTTTTGTTTTGTTTCCCTGTACAGAGCAACATTTAAGGTTTATGTGAGCTAGCATGTATCTAATATACATGCAGTTTCAAAGAAAGAAAGAAAGAAAGAAAAAGATTTATGCTGTGCAAAGCAACCTTGGTGAAATTCTGACACATTGTTGTGTATTGTGTTTGTTTCTTTGATGTTTGATGCCAAAAGGGGGTGTGGTTAAAAATACTGTTTTAAGATAGAGCATTAATAGAGGTATTACATCATCTGAAGCGTTGTTTTCAAAGACTGGTTTCTTGGAGTGTGATTAAGCCTAATCCTTGAACTAAAACTATCTTTAGTGGATGACAGCTTAATGGAAGTACTGTATGATTTTAAGCCAGTTTTTGCTTAATCTGTGATGGCAAGTCACTCACAGAGGAGTGGTTTGTGTTTTTGCAGCATATTAGTAATATACCCTAGTATATGATGTGGTAGATCCGTCAAGGATACTATAGGCTAGTCTGACTCGAACACAACGCCAGGCCTTCCGGTACCAACACTGTCTCACACTCAAGTAGCGATAGAAAGGAAATGCAGCCTCCATGGCTCTGTGATCCTTTTTCTGTGCCATCTTTAATTCCTTACTCTCCTGACATTTATATGGACTGGCTTTAAAAATGCACACGTATCAAGATAATGGCAAATCCTGTCCTCCTCGCTTGGTGGTTTGGCTTATGTTGAGAACACCTTTCAAAGCTTCAGAAGTGAGGGAGGTTTATGTTGCTTTCTGACAGTTTGATTGGGGAAAAGAGATCAGTTTCTGGTCTCACTGTGTGGAACAAGATAAATGGTTTCAAATCGCAGTTTTCACAGCTAAGTGTACACAAAACACATTACTATTTGAGCCTCAGATACAATGTCAGACTTCAAATGAGACAAACAGGAGGTAAACTTTGTTAGGCCTATATTTTTCTTAAGATATCAGTAACTTTGTACACAATCCACAAACCAGTTCTACTTCATCTAACTTCACCGTCCTACCTCATTGTTACTCTGGTGTTTGTTTGTCAGTGACTGTAAACTATGTGTGTATATTAAATCTATAGGAAAAGGTATACCTGGTTACTCTCAACATGTACAGCGTATAGAACTTGTTAAACACCTCAGTACACAAATGTCATTCTTAAGAGAAATCAGTTTTATTACCTGCTTAAAGATGCTGCTGTAAAGAGGTGTCTGTGTGAGGGGTCGTCTCTGAATATATACCTTTGCTCTTTGCTATGTCGTGCAGTTGGTCAGTGGTTGTGTTCTGTCTCTGTATTGCATTCTGAGATTTTTACTGGTTGACGGTGCTACCAGCAAACAGTTTAAAACTGATCTATCGGACCTCAAATGGTGCTGTTTTTCTATGTTTTTATTCTCATACAGCTGTGTTTTATTCAGGTGTGTCACTCTCCCCTCAGCTAATCAAATTTTAAGCCAAAATATTTCACAAAACCGATAACCCTGCTATTACTCTATCAATATGCTATCCATCCAAATATTGTAGGTAGTGGTTATATCCTCAGCTGTGAGTTTCAGAAGTACCTCAGAAGTTGGATGCATCTGCTTCTAGCACCCGTTGTCTACCAAGATTACGTTGTTACAGTGTATTTTAGAAATATGCATTTTTAACAGTTAGATCAGGTTGAAATACATATACATATTGCTAGCTCGCATTCAGATGACCGTTGAATTTTAATGATACCACTGTTCACTGGTTGCGTGCCAGGTTGTGTTAAAGGAAAACGTTTAGATTTGGATTAGGAAGTGTATGTTACAGTAGAAGAAGTCCTCAGCAAGCAAAACATGTTCTGCTTGGGTTTTATGGAAAAGAGATCCCATTGGTAGGTGTAGTTTATGGTCAGACTGTTTGGGGTAGTTTCCTCAGTTTTAGAATGATTAATGCTCACTAGTTTCCACTTTAATCTGTGATTTCCCAATTGTATCTCTTTGTCCCTCACTGTTTAATTTTATAATGGTGAAAAATATTAATTCAGTGTAGCAAATTGTTCACAATTGACTTACTGTGAGCTAGAGTCGTAGTTAACAGCGCCATACAGCGTTTGGATTTAATTATACAAAAAGTGCATTATATATATTTTTCTTTACCCTGTGCAGTGACACCAATGGAATCTTTCCTGTGCTGAAGTGTCTGCAGTACGTTTCTGGGAGCGGTTTGCTCTACTGTCAGTATACATGTATTTGTGTTCTTGTGTATTTTTTCTCCTATCATGTCTGTGAACGTGAAATGTTGCTGAGGAATTCCTTTCTGCTTTGAGTAGTGTGTGTTAACACTGCCTTTGGTTTCATGGAAGCTCTTAAGCCATTTGTTGGACTGTTTCATAATGGTTCGACTGTAAGCTTTGCTCTGGTCCAGGGAATTGACCCAGAGAGTTTTGTGTGAAATTGAATTTCTATGCAGGTCTAAGTTGTAATCACCTGGTACCATATCACTGTTGGGTGGAGGGCCTACCAGGAAGAGAGATAACTGGAGGGGGTTTAAACCTTTGAATGTTTCTGCACAGCCTTGAGATAGAGTCTAAAGGGACAATGGCGACACGACAAATCCATACAGAACTATTACCACGTTTTCATACTCATGGAGTTGAATTAAACTGAGCTTATAGGGCTGCTTGGGTATACACCTGTCTGCAATAGTTGTAATTGCATTGCAATGATCATTAGGGAGAGACAGGGTTCTTACTGTATGGAGTATTTGGAGTTGATAATGTGAAAAGAATTTCAAGACTATTGCAGTAAACACTCCCTCACCCTAGTTTAGCCTCCCAGAGGCCCGATCCTGCATTTACAGAAAACGTTATAAGTATATGCGATGAGAGTGTACATGTCTCTGCTAAACCGGCCACACCTCTGCTATGCTAGCAACTCTTTGATGCTTAGCATCCTGTTCTGTGTTTTCTCTTGCTGCATTCAGGAACACCTGTTTAATGTATAGATAACAGAAATAAATCCAGACTTTTATTCTGTCAGCACAAACCTCTTGTTGTCTTTTTTTTTGTCATTTCCTGCCTCATGGTCTTTTATCAAAAAAACAAACCACAAGATAATACCACAGTGGACCTGTCGCTTTATTTTTTAATCACCTTTTAGTGTGAAACATAATTTTTTATAGATTGCTGATGATGCTCCTATCTCCATACTGTATTTATGTTGTGCTATTCAGAGAAGATGAACATTGTATAGGCTATGCAAGTGATGAAATCACATCAAGAACTCCCTTTTCCCCCCAAGTTCATCAAAATCACAACACGAGTTGTAGTCGCAGTTGGTTGATACAGTATGCTATGTATTGTGATATGTTGATCGCAATATTGTATAAGGAAACCATCACCCTGATGGTGAGATGGCCGAAAACATTTGGTTAAAAAAAACAACATGGTGTTCTGTGTTGTGCGAGGTTTCCTTCGTGAAGAAATACTTGAGCATTTTAGCAGATATGCTTACTCGCTTTCTCGCCATGAGTTAGATGAGAAGATCAACACTATTCACATGAAATGTACAGCCATAGCCAGTACCTGGTTAGCTCTGTCTGACCATAACAAAATCCAAAATGGAGCAGTTCTAAACCTTTCATTTCTTATGGGCTGTTGCTTGTTTAACCTGTACAAAACCCAAAGTTTTAAAATGAAAATTTATCATTATATGGTGGAGTTATGTGCCAGACTATCTATCTATTCATTTATTTAGGCCAGAAAAAGTAACTTACTGGAGACTAGTCAAACCATTTCCCCTGTTTTCAGATTTCATGTTATGCTCTAATTTACAGATATGTTAAAGCAGATAAGCACATTTCCCAAAATATGAAACTATTGCTTTAATGGTCACCCCCATCAAAGGAATTCCAGAACAAACCAAGGCGCACAACATTTTCATCAAATTTCTATCAGATTGTGCTTGCCATATCCTATTGTTCACTGTTAGGAGAAAGTTTGGGATGTTAAAGCGGGCTCTGAGCCAGTGCTAACTTCATTTGACTAGATGGTATTTTCACCTCAATCTGTATATTTTCAAACCACCTCATCGAGGTTAAATCTAGCCAATAACTTGGAGCACAAACTAATTTCAAGCTTATTACTGCAATACCATTTAACTGATGTCAATGGAGGTTTTTATTTTCAAATTGATGGCTATGTGCATTGAATGGGTTTCATGAAATCTTAATGACCCCTAGGCTAATGTAAATTTCTCAGCGCACAGTGACCCAGTACACTTTCAATTTAAATGCAGAAATTAAAATTAGATTTTGCGTTTTTCATACTGTAGTAGATATTTACTTTTAAAACATCTCACCCAGGAGTGTGAGACCGTAAAAACTGATTTTCAGACAGACAGAGGGAGATGAGCTCTAGCGTTATTGGCTCTGACAACTCATTCCGCCATACACTGATCAGTGTGTGGCTGTGTAAGCTCTTAGTGCCTTTTCATGCTACATCTCACACCACTCTTCCATTGACAGAGGCTCTGTGCTGCACTTCTGTCATCACAAATACCAGTCCCCTGTTGCTTTCACATTCCCTAACACTTACAACATGACCATATAGATTTGTGTTGCAGGTTTGGTGTGTGTGTGTGTGCACCTGCAGTAAAGGTGAGGGATTAACAGATTGTTCTCAATGTCAGTCATAAGATAACAGGACGGCAGAGCCCAGCAGTTTACTGTACTGTATTAGTTCATTCAGTTCCCATGCTGCTGACCGGCCTCTGTGCCACACAGCATGCCGATGATTGGCAGCGCTGTATCTAACATGTCCCGTGGCCAAACCATATTGCAGTATCAGCTCACCTGCATGAGAGCAAGATAAGACAGAAATGGGGTGTTGACACATCAGATTGCTTGGAAGACAGCTTGTTTGGAGAGTCCTGAATATAAAATGAGCCCCATAATCGAATGCTGGAATCCGTAATGGAAACTGGTAGGAAATGGTCACTGTAAAGGCAATTTCCTCCCCGTTTCCTTATGAATAAACTGAACTCTACTTACTCCTTCATCTCTCCATTCCTGCCCCTGTCTGATTCATTTCCATATATTATTGCCCCTGTAAGCAAGTGTGTTGTGCACCCAGGCTTTTCCTACAGCCCAAGGGGACTTCTCAATGTCATTATCGCCAAAGCCTGCCACATGCCTGTAATGTATTGCCGCCTGGCTTTATTGGCAACGCGATGATTCAGTGGTGGTGTTGATGGATTAGTGCTGGCTGGGTCGAGCTGGGTTGGGCTGACTTGGTCCAGACTGGGCTGGGCTCTGCAGCCTCACTGTCTGTCACATTAACACTGTGTCCTCCTCACACACTGCAGTCTTGAGGGAGACGTATTGTATTTATGTCACACACGCCACCTAATGAATATGGTCATATCCCTGCTTTTATGGAGCTTCTTGGAAAATCGTCTGATTCATCTTGTCCACCACTGGTTTTCATGCAGACACAGCAGTGGAGAATAATAGGTGGTGATAATGTTTTCTCTTTATGACATTATTACTGTTTTGAATGTGAAAATATAACTGCTTTTGTTGCCTCCTGAAACAGAGTCCACACTGGGTGCACATGTTACAGTACCTCAGTGTAACAGGCTTTAATGTTTGCATGAGCACACACATGAATAGGATTTGGAGGAAGGACACACTGTGGCATGTTTTATTACTTAAAATGAAACACACTCCATATAACACAGCCACCCTGGATGATCCAAATTAATAAATGACACACTGACCAAGAGTCTAACCCCAACACAGCGCTGATGATTGCAGGGTGGCTTACTGCTGTACACTGTCACGCTGATCTGGCTCCAGCCTCACTGCAAGGAAACAATGGACATTAGTCTTATTGTGTCACTGCTTGTGGTAGCAACTGGCCACCAGCACTGCCATTGTTAATCTCTCCTGCCCTGAGACACACAAGTAACACACTCTGTAGTTCACAGATGTTGATGTTTATTGCTTCACAGGAGTTTAACTGCAAAAGCATGAATGGGTTAAACATTCTGTTTTGATTTTGATTTTATTTTTGTTTTGTTAGTCTGTTACTAACTGCAACAGTTCAGTGACTTTATCTCCATTTGACCCGTCGGTCTGCCCATCCTCCGACATTTCTTCCCTAATGGCATGGAAAGCATTCTCATTACTGTGAAGTAACAAAAGAGTTGAGCTTAGACTCTTCTAATTGAATCTCATTTGTGCCATTATTGTGACTGTATGTGGAGCACTTTGTCTAATTTCTTAGAGATTTGTTTTTGTTTTTCATGTTAAGCAGTTTACAGAGCATTCATTAATAGCACAGGGCACACATTTGTATGTAATATATTCAGGAAGCATGTTCATTTCATCATCTCTATTGCCAGTAATGGTGCTGAATCATGCATTGTTTCTTCTTATATTCCCATCTCGGCCATTACACTGTATGTTTATCTGAAAACTGACTGTAGGGTTAACGGGAAAATTGATAAGGATTAACTCTGCCTCTGGTCTTCACACAAGTGATGAGCAGTCAAGCTCACAGTGGCTGTGCTTCCTATGCTCCTTACTGTACGTACCATCATTTTTACCCACCAATAGCCAACTCCAGCTGTCCCTACATTGTCAGTTAAATGTATGTATGATAAGATATGCTCTAAGTCTCGACTGTGACTGTTAAATTTCTCTCTGCTGCCAGCATTATTCAGAGGTCCTTATCATTTTAAGAAGCTTATTTGACTGATTCATTGATAAAAATTGTTAAAGTTTGAACTCCATCAGCTCCTCCACTAAGTGGATGCAAAGCTAAGCTCTCTTATCCTAAATTCACACACATGCACACCTGTGTATATGTGTGCATCCACATACACACACACACACACACACACACA